GTGGTTTGTATGCAAGTCAGAGTCAGTTATATTTCTAATTTTCAATAGAATGGAATCCTATAAGCCAGCCGCCCGCCGGGGCCGTCGACCGCGGTCGAAAAAAACAAAAAAAAGCGCTGAAAATCATAAAATGAAGATTTATAGGGTGCCCTTCTATTAGAACCAGCGTAAAAGTGACTTGTATACAAACCGCACCACTCCATCTCTCACGAATCAATCTGGTGGTCAAGTCTCTCTTTCTCTGCGTCTCTCTCTCTCTCTCTCTCTCTCTCTCTCATCCATTGATATATGTGAACTTTCTCTTCTCTTTCTCTATTCTTCATTCCTCCCGTAAATATAGAAAAATCCAATTTCTCTTTTTCCCCCTTTTTCTAGATTATCATTGTAGTGTATGTAGTGATAATGGAGAATGTCATGTCCCTTTAATAATGTCCCATACTACAGTATAGGAAATTTAAAGGGACACGGCATGCATACTTCAAGCAAGTACTCTATTTCGATGCATTTATGTTGTGTAACTTTCGCCGATGAGTCATCCATCGTTTTTCGTTTTTCGCTTCTTTTTTTTTTGGAGATTCGTGATTTTTCCATTGTGGTGTCATAGGTTTAAATTGACCGATTCTATACCGGGGCACCAATTGATCTGAATTAGTTGAGTCGTTTTTGTTATAATTGAGTGGGCGGTGTCCCTTTAAAGTCGTTCGAAATTTTGAGTCACTTTTTTTTTTGATACTAATAGGTTTGGAAAGGGTTTGAAAGCGTTTTTTTAAAAAAACATTGAATTTTGGAAAGAAAAAAGGCAATTTTCGATTTTATGGAGTTTTGAAAATTCTTCGGAAAAAAAAATTCAAAAACAAAAATCGTTGAAAATTCTGAAGTTGCTTGACTCTTCTGAAAATACCTCGAATTTCCTTGAAATCCCACCAAAAACCACTTTTCTAGGCCCTCTAGAACCCGAGATATAGCGATTTGAAGCTTATTATGCTAGAGACGCAGTGTGTCTCGTCGTCTGCGTCTCTAGCCTTCCAAACTTCAACGCGCTATATCTCGGCTACTAGAAGTGCTGAAAAGCTGATTTTTGGACAGAATTAAAGGGAAATTTTGCTATTTTGTGATTATCGAAACGGGAAAATTCAAAATTTCCTATATTTTTGAAAGTTTTATCTGATTTTGTGGAGTTCCAAGATGATTCAAATGATTCTTTAAAAAATAATTAGTGGTTATAGATTCATCTATGGTCCTTTTCCGGAAGAAAAAATGTCAAAAATGGTCATTTTTGAAAGTTTTTTACAGAAAAAATCTATCTCCTCTTTCAGTTTTTGACATTTCTAGGAGTTCGATAGCTCAAAAAAACCGCAATTATTTTCTCTACATTTTCTATGGATGAATTTTGAATTCGTCTGATAAAACTTTTTTTATAATTCAAAAACCTCA